AGCTTTGAGCCATCATGAAAGGTTAAAATCAGTTTGTGGTAGCTTAACGAACAATTTTGAGCTAATTCAGTCCAAATCTAAAGAGGCTCAATTTCCAATGATATAAAACTATTTAGGAAATAATTTGAGAAGCTGACACAACAGATTGTTTGCCATTTTGTTATTTAAAAATGGCTCAAACAAGTAGCCTACTAATTCTCTTTTTTAATCCATGTATTTATAGGTTAAAAGCTTTACAGCCCAGGAAATGGTCATTTCCACGCAGCACAAACTCGACAATACTAAAAGTAGCATTTTTCAAGGTTCAAGTGAAAGCAAACAGTTGGAGTTGAGATCCTTACATTAATGTTCAATAACTGCGGGACACGAGCTGGCCGTGATCTGTCTCGTGAACGTTAAACCTGTTCGTGCTGCAGAGATAAAACTCACCGGATGTTTCTCTCTTTCTCCCTCAGTCTGCTTCCTACAGGTTCTCAATATATTTCAGTATCTTTAAACTTTATGAAAACAGAGACAACGTTTAAATCCAACCACATTTCTACCTCTCGTTCAGTTTGCAGAAGAGGAAGTTAAACGTGTGTGTCCTTTTCTCTGAAGTCATGTGGTTCTCTTTACTGCTCAAACCACCGCCCTTTTTCCTAACAATAAAAATGATATTAAATTATGAGGGATGAAAAAACATTCTGCCATACATTCTTAAAGATATTGATATTGTAGGAATCAGTACTAGTAAGACTACTCCCACAAGTGCTATGAAGAACCATTACTGTGTATCTTGTGAGTACTCCTCTGACAAAATTAAAACAATAGAAAACAATTATACAGACTCACAATATTTATCATACTCAACATGAAGTTTAAAACAGGCAGAGTTGTCTTTCATGCCCAAGCCGTGAACTCCTATATTAAAGAAGAGCTATTGTGGACTGAATTTAACCAGCACATATATAATATGCACTTTATATACAGCACTTTTAAAAACAAAGTTACGTGAGCTTTACATAGACAAAGCTTAATAAAAAGCCCAACCATAATATTAATAAAACAAATAACAGAAATAATAGAGCAGATGGGACATATTGGAAATAAAATGGTATATAAAACAAAAATAAAAAGCTGTTTTAAACAGATACATTCTTACCAGTATTTTAAAGAATGTCACTGACTCTGCCAGACTCAGTCGTCACACAGACATTACAGAGCTGCACTTTTGCTGATATAACATCTGGGGGTGCAGTGGTGAGGCTGGAGGGACGGGTTCGACTGGAGTGTAATACAGCATCACTTCAGAGGGGAACAACACACTTTAAAATGAATCCTTAAAAAGCATTTCATGACCGACATCCCACACATGAATTTAGAACTGAAATGAGAAAATCAAACATTATACAAACACATAACATTTCCAAATGTGTAGTATTGAACTCCAACAGGCATTATCTATCACAGCTCCCTCTAGAGCCACATAAGGCTTTATATAACTTTGTTTACTCATGCGGCAGCTATACTTTACAAGACTCCTAAACAGACTGGATATCTAAACATTGCTGCAGTTCCCCTTTAAATGTATAAACTGTACTTTCATCACCAAGTAAAGTCCTGCCTCGCTTCATCCAAACATACAAGAAGGTAAGGCTAAACAATTAGTTCACAGAAATTGAGGTTGGTTAATAAAGCAAAGTTTGTGGATAACGTCAAAAGAATACTACCTTCTTCCAGTATCCCTCTGAACAACCAGTTTAATAAATGATAAGAATAATATGTAAACATTTTTTTAAATCTAGGAGGAAAGTGACGTTCCTAAATCTGTTAACTTCATTACATCATTATGTCTGCTTCAACTTTTAAAACACTCTATTCACTCGACATGTGTAATATTTATAAGAGTTTATTAAAAATGTATTTCGAAATAGAAAACATTGGCCTCCAAAAGTAAACATATTTTCATGAGGGAAAAAACAACAATAGAATCGTTTAGCACAAAAATGTAAGATAAAATCTGCATGCAAAGCCTAAGGATAATCATTCATGATCAAGCATCCTTTAATTTATAAAAAATAGGTTAAAAGCAGACTCAATCCATCTGGGATTTGCTGGATTAAAACATTACATGTCAGGTGAGAACGCTAAATCATTTCTTACATCTTTACATTACATGAATGACTTACATGGTTTGCTGAATCTGGTTTTAACCTTACAGGAAAACGTATTCATTTTATAAAATATGACTGGTCCAAGTGTAAAAAAGGGCAAGAGCTATGATTAAACATGAAGGTGCAAAAGCTATATTTGATAGAACTCCCTACAGAGACATTTACATTACTATTTCCCCATTGGAATCGTTTAAGACATTTTTTTTTTTAGGCACAATGTACGTTTAGTCTAAAAAATTATTTCTCCACAACATTCACTTCTTTCCCTTTAGAAGAAGAAGAAGAAGATACACTTTATTAATCCCTTACAGGGAAATTTATTTCCCCACTCTGTTGTGTTTACACACATTACACACACAGGGGAGGATATACATGCACAAACACAGAGGATATACATGCACACACACACAACCACATGCAGATAGGAGAGGTGGCAGAGCAGAGAGGCTGCCAGGTACCCGGCGCCAAGGGAGCAGTTTCGAGGTTAGGTGCCTTGCTCAAGGGCACCTCGGCAGTGGCCTTGGAGGTGAACTGGCACCTCTCCAGCTACCAGCTCACTCCATCTTTTTTTGGTCCGATCGGGACGTGAACCGGCGACCCTTCGGTTCCAAGACCAAGTCCATACAGACTAAGCCACTGCCGCCGCCTTTAGCTCATCAATGAGATATTTCTCCTCTTTCTCAAGGATTCTGTAGAAGACTTCTTTGCCACGAGGCCCTGCTGCATTCAGGGGACCACTGAAGAGTTCCCTCATCTTCTCCTGATTGGTTGGGATTTTCCTGATTTTATCATAAATCGCTTGTTGGATGACTTCTTTCCCAAGGAGCCGATCCAAAATGTTTCCAACGCAGTTCACTCTGTCGGTCAGCTCGGTTCTATGTTTATCCACAAAGTGCTCACCTGAGGAAGGAGGGAATAATGAGTAAAGTGTTGATGATACCATGAAGCCAACTTGATACATTTCCAAACAAATATTTTATTTTCTATAACAGTGACTTCTTTATTTTAAATACAGTGGAGGAAATAAGTATTTGATCCCTTGCAGATTTTGTAAGTTTGCCCACTTACAAAAAAATTAACAGTCTATAATTTTAATGGTAGGTTTATTTTAACAGTGAGAGTAAGAATATCAAAAAGAAAATCCAGAAATTGACATTATATACAAGATAACAATTTATTTGCATTTAACTGTGGGAAATAAGTATTTGATCCCCTTGCAACAAACAAGGATTCTGGCTCCCACAGACCGGTTACAGAAGTCCTCTTCCTTTAAAAAAGTACTCCTAATATCAACTTGTTACCTGTATAAAAGACACCTGTCCACAGAATCAATCAATGAGATTCCAACCTCTCCAACACGGGCAAGACTAAAGAGCTGTCTAAGGACCTCAGGGACAAGTTTGTAGACCTGCTCAAGGCTGGGATTGGCTACAAGACACTCAGAAAGTAGCTTGGTGAGAAGGAGACCACTGTTGGTGCGATTATACGGAAATGGAATTAACACAAAATGACCATCAATCACCCTCGGTCTGGGGCTCCACACAAGATCTCGCCCCGTGGGGTATTGATGATCATGAGAAAGGTGGGGTATCAGCCAAGAACTAAAGGGAGGGAACTTGTTAATGATCTCAAGGCAGCTGGGACCACAGTCACCAAGAAAACTATTGGTAACACACTGCACCATAATGCATAAAATCCTGCAGCACCTGTGTCCAAGGTCATTCCTATCTCAAGTGAATTAATTGGGGCTGGGCCATATATGGATATCATAGTGATGTCAGACTACACTTTGTATTACATTTTGGATAAAGTCATATCACTTAAGTGTATTTTCCTGGTTTAAGTGCCTATATTACATATTTTGTGAAAGAACCAATAATCAACCCTACAATTTTGGTGGAATATATTTGACCAGAAATATTAGGAAATTTGATTATGTCCATATCGTACAGCCTTAAATTACTATGCACCACATGTATCATCACTATTTTTTTGTAACTGTAAATCAAAATTCAGAATTCGGACCTTCTACAAGTGCAACATAGAGTATCCTGACCTTCTACAGGTGCACCATAGAGAGTATCCTGACCTTCTACAGGTGCACCATAGAGAGGATCCTGACCTTCTACAGGTGCACCATAGAGAGGATCCTGACCTTCTACAGGTGCACCATAGAGATTATCCTGACCTTCTACAGGTGCACCATAGAGAGGATCCTGACCTTCTACAGGTGCACCATAGAGAGGATCCTGACCTTCTACAGGTGCACCATAGAGATTATCCTGACCTTCTACAGGTGCACCATAGAGAGGATCCTGACCCTCTACAGGTGCACCATAGAGAGCATCCTGACCTTCTACAGGTGCACCATAGAGTATCCTGACCTTCTACAGGTGCACCATAGAGAGCATCCTGACCTTCTACAGGTGCACCATAGAGAGCATCCTGACCTTCTACAGGTGCACCATAGAGAGTATCCTGACCTTCTACAGGTGCACCATAGAGAGCATCCTGACCTTCTACAGGTGCACCATAGAGAGCATCCTGACCCACTGCTTCATGGCCTGGTATGGCAGTTTCACCGTTTCCACCAGCACGGAGCTGCCATCCATGGAGGACCTCTACTCCCAGCGGCTCAGGAAGAAAGCCCACATGATTATCAAAGACCCCCATCACCCCAGCAACAAACTGTTATGTCTGCTGCCAAATGGCAGGCGGTACTGCAGCAACAGGACAAAAACCACCAGACTCAGAGACAGTTTCATCCCAGAGTCCATAAGACTATTCAACACCTAAGCTTGCAGAATTTACATTTTTTTTGTTGTTTTTCCATATATGTTTTTATGTGTAGTAATTGCACTGTTGAGGAACCTGTGATCTAAGTTTTTCATCCTTAACAACACCATAGTTGTGTTTAAGTTATGACAATACATCTTTGAATCTTGAATCAAAGGTTGCTTTAAAAACAGCTTTTCTGTAGCACTTCACAGTCAGACGACAGAAAATAACTTACCAGTAATGGAGGGTTGTCCACCTGTCTCTTTCACTGCAGAAATAGGAATATGCAGTGTTGCATTAATACAAAGAATAAAAACGTGTATGTTAAGATTCTTATAAATGTAATGGAAATATCATTTAAATAACTGTAAAAACAAACATTCTAGAAAACCTTTTTTTTTAATATGCAGCATCTTACCATCTGAATCACCAGAGCTTCGTAACTCAACTGAAATACAGAACATACAAAATATGGATTTTTCATATTTCTTTTTTATGTATAGTATTCTCATCAACACGTTAAAATAAAGTTCATTTTTATATGTTTGGACATACAATGGGATTGGGCTCTGTTTAATATAATCATGTTGCATAACACCTTAGTTAATTAAAGGTAAAAGACAGATTTAATTATTTATTTTTTCATATGGTGTAAGTAATAATGCCCACTGACCTTTTCGCATCACACAGCTCCATACTGGTTCACACTGTGGTTCCGAGTTGTTAAGTTGAGAGAGAGTAAGGTGGAAGTTACTGTCTGGATTCTCAAAGCCCACGTCAAAGAATATTGAGTGTTGCTTTTCTTGGCTATCATTGCTGAGGGTTATTTTCTGTGTGAGAAAAAAAAAATAATAATAACAGGGAGAGATGACAAAATGAGATGTGAGGGTCAATATTGAATAAACTAAAGATTTCAGTTGTTCAAAAAAAGTGAATTAGTCACATGGCCAACAGAAAAAATTAAGCTGGTTATTTCAAATGGAGAAGTCCTTATTGTTGAACTTAAGTTTGATGGTATACTGTATGCATGCCGTTTTTTTGACTAAGTCCACAATTTGATATGCCACTGGTAAATTACAAGCATCAATTTTCTCACATTCGCTCCCCTAGATTAACAGATTTTGGCTACTGAACCATAGCTAATTCTTCTGTCTGTATGGCATATCTTGTTATTATATCTTTATTAAACAAGGAACATGCATAACAATACATGAATTACAAAAAGGGAAGAGATGATGTATGGTAGAATTTACAGTAGCTAATTTCCATCTGCAGTCCCTGGGTAGATAAAAACATAATAATAATAATACATTTATTTTGGGGGGCGCCTTTCATAGCACCCAAGGACACCTTACAGGGCATAGGGGCAATATAGGGAACAATTAAAACAGTGGATTTAGTGAGATATCAGCCGGGGTAAGATAAGACAAACAACAGTAAATGGACTACAGAATAATCAACAAAAGTGCAGATGTATGAAATAAAAATACCATCATATTTTACGCTCAGCTCGAAACATATTCCAATGCCTGGTGGTTGTAAATTAAAAAGCTGATGGTGCAAAGGTAATCCACCTCAGTGGGATGTTTAAGTCTAGTGGAGATCTTGAGGTTCTGACTATTTGTGAGTTCCCTTGATATTGATATATCAAACAGTAGCCATTTTGACGTCTCACTGCAAGGTTGACACAGGTATTATTTACAAAATGAATAACTGTCCCATTTTAATTAGTGTCACATACATTCTAGTCTAGTCATCATTAGCAATACCAGGAACCTGGCCTATCTACATGAACCATAATAAAATAATATTCACAATGAACAGATCAGATTGCTGACTGGCAATTCAAACTGTACCTCTGGGAAAATCTTGTCCGTTGTTATGTCTGCTGTGAGGTTGAAATCTTGGTGCAGGGTCAGGCCCTCGTTTGGGCATGGCTTTTCGATAAATCTGAAGTCTTTTTTCTTCTTGTCGATGGTCTGGGGGAAAAAATCAATCTAAGCACAACCCTGCTTCAAGTTTACAGTAAGAAACATTTGTGTTTAAAATGCATTCATGAAACAATAAGGTTTTAACAACAGAGTATTAGGGTCAGTATCTGGAAAAATATATATTTATTTTAGATTATGTTATTTCAGAATGGCCACTGAGTCATGATAAAAAAGTCATACCTTCGAGAAAAAATTTCTTTAACGTTTTGAGAGTAACGAAATAAGTGAGATCAAACCAAGCTGCAGCGTCATCGACAATTACCACAGAATAGGTCTGAGGCACGTCCGTGATTGTATTTAACATTTATAGCAACATGTGAAACAGTTAAATTGGCTTAAATGCTTTGCTGTTTGAAGCAGCTCTCCATGGAGCAGAACTTTCCCTTGAGTGATAATCTAAAAAACTAAATGATATCTCGCTTGATAAGTATTATCAGGGAACACATTATAACACAATGATAAGTATAAGGTTATATGTCAACCATGTATCAATCATTGAGAGTCATGTTGCAAACGGAACTAGCTCTGTTTGTAGGGACTTGGCGACCAGAGGGTTGCAGGTTCAAGTCCCTGAATGGATCAAGTGAAGAGTGGGGACTGATACTTTGTGAGGTGGCAGTTGGTCTCCTGGTCATGCTGAGGTAACCTTGAGCAAGGCACCAGAGCCCCACACTGGGCATTGTAATATAGCAGTCGACTGCTTCTTGTTTAAGGATGGGTTAAAGGCAGAGACTAGAATTCACTGTGTGTGGTGCTGTGTTCATGTTTGTGTTGATTTGAAGTTGATTGCTAGGACTGTCTTAGGGAAGATAGCATTTAGATGCGCAGCTCCACTGTCTTGGAATAGTCTGCAATTGAAATGGAAACTGAGCAATCTGGTGCCACTAAATGTTTTTAAAGCTCGATTGGATGCTACTCAATCGGAAGCTGTTGGTACCTGTTCATGTGGATAGTTATGTAAATTGTAATTCCTGTAATGATGCTGTATGATGTCCTTTTTGTTGTTGTTTTTATGTTTCATGTGGAACCTACTTGAGCAGGTCTCCCTTGAAAAAGAGATCAATGATCTCAATGGGATACACCTGGATAAATAAAGGTTTGAAATGAAATAATTGTATTAAAATCATACAATAGGACCCTTTTCAGATAATATTTCCTTTAAATGTTTTCCCTCACTTATGACTTTACTCTCATAACAGGACTACTTTAAGAATTAAAGATGTTATTTTCACAATTTAGCCCAAATACTCCATTGTAGGTTTTGATTTCAATTTACTTTCTGGATCACTGCAGGTCGCTTTGCCTCTGAGTGTTTCTCTGAAGAGAAAAGAGGTGGAGATAAACCAACTCAATTAATTTGACCCTCTCCCAAAATATTAATCATTGTTCTGATTTGTCATAAAACATACTTTGTACACTAGGATATAAATACATTATAAATATACGTTTCATCTATATTCTTTATTTAGTGCAGAGCTTATTAACTTAGGATAAACAGGTTTGATGATTTAAAGATGTTTGTGTTTTATTAGTCTTACTTTTGGGTCCTGAGCTGCTTTGTGACAGCCTCTGCACCAGATCAGTCCTCCCAATCCTCTTAAAAATATTTTGGGTCATCTCCACAGACTGCTGGCCGTGATCTCGCAACAAATAAAACACCATGTCCTGCCTGTCACTCATCATGTGCTGCCTCCGGTCTGGGTAGCCTTTGTCAGACTGAATTTGACTCAGGACCCTCTTAAAACTCTGTAAATCCTGGTCACTCAAATCTTTCAGTGTTTCCAGAAGCAGCTCTATGACAGACGCCATCGTTTCCACCTGGTCAAATCAAAGGAGATGTTAATGGGGCAAAAGAGCAATTTCTCAGCTGGAATGATTACAGATTATTTTTTGTTTACATCTTGTCAGTTTCAGTGTTTTAAAAATAGTGGATATGGTAAGAGAACATCAGCCATGTCACGCACAGCGTGTCAGTACACTTTATATTGTTCATCCAATTCATCACAAAACCATTTTCTTTTTGTATAAACGGCGTGTTTGACTCATGACTTTATTTTACTCTTTCAAAGGCTGTGGTAAAAAATGTTAAACTAGTTTCATCTTTTTTTTTGTATTTGAACAAATACTATATAGATAACGTTAATGGCTAAGAACGTACAGTATGTGTACCTAATTTGGCATGATCAGATTATTTCTTTAAGAAAACTATCTGGGACAAAAAAATTAAATTCAGGATGAAGATTATTAACAGTCTTCTTAATCTACTGAGTCAAAGCTGCACTGTGTGAAATTGATGATACTTTACTCACGCTCTGGATCAGAGAAGGAAGCGGTTCCTCTGAGGATAATAAAAAAAAAGGAAAAGGCCCATTTCATTTATTTCATCCCAATAGCCGCGTTCACACCGGAGTACTTTTCACTGTACTTTTCGCGTTTAGTTCCGTTAGTACCCCTTATGTCGCGTTCACACCAAAAATCGTACTTAATCTCGGGTACTTTTACCCCCATTTTTAGAGCCCGCTGGGAGAGCGTACTTTCCTGTGGGTGAAAAGTGCCCCAAAAGTGCCCCAGTGCTGATTGGCTGGGCGAATTGCAAACCACGCCCGTACAACTGTGAAAATGTTGTGTGGAGCAGCCATTGTTTTTCCTCGCTACAAACGGAGAGTAGTTTGTTTTTGAAAGCAGTTATGGCAAGCATCAGGAAATCATCGAAGCGATGGAGTGATGAGGAGGTATCAGCGCTTCTGGACATCTACACCGAGGACGCGACCCAGGGAATGCTGCTGAAGCCAGTACCCAACTCGAAGATGTTTGATCGTTGTTCGAAGAAGTTGCTTGAGATGGGAATCTTGCACAGCGCCATGGCATGCCGGCTAAAAATAAAGAAACTCCGGCAGGACTACAAACAAATTAAAGACTGGAATAATAAAAGTGATAACGACCGGAAGACCAGTAAATGGTACGACCGCTTGGATGCTTTGCTAAGCCACAGACCTTCATTCTCCGGTACAGCATCGAGCCTTGAGTCGGGCAGTATGGTATTGGAGGCCGCTCCAACGGCGGATTTAGCGGCGGACCACGACGAAGGTAAAAGCAACTACATGCACTGGGGTTTTAATCTGCACAATAATGGTCTCAGATGTACTTTTATTTGCTCAGTAGATCAAGCTAGCCATGCTAGGCTGAACTAGCTAACACTGGCCCCGAGCTGGCTAATAACATCTAGCTAGCTAGATATTCTCGGCCGCTATGAAAACGTTTTTAACTTGTGAATAACTGTGCAGTGTTTCTGTAATTTGCTTCACTAACTCATGGCACTAATCGTGTGTTTCAGGCGAGGAAAATCATCAACTCTCGGGATTGGAAACAAGCGAGCTTTGCCTTGAAGATCAAAGCGCTTGCTCGTCTCCCTTACCAGCAACCAAACGCAAAGGTACACACACTGTAACTTTGTCTTGAAAGAACGTTATGCATGGAACTGATGTTCACAATCATGTTTATTTCCTTCTTGGTACAATTATGAAACAGCGTGAAAACGTATTCGCCTAGACCGGCATTTACACATGTTGGCGCCTTTTTACTCTCACAAACATTGTAAACATCCGGGCTAGAGGTCACATGACTTCCGGTAAGAAATCGCTTCCACTTGGAGCATATATCGCCACCTACTGTTGATTTATTAAATGTTTTTATTAAATCCTTGTCCTCAGACCAGTGCTTTTGAAGAATTTGAAGATCAGCTTGTTTGCCTCATTTCTTGATTGACTTGAAATCCATGTCCTTGATGTTGAGTTGTTCCAGTGCAGTTTTCAGAATGAGTCTTTGTCTGTTATAATCCGGGCAGCTAAAAAATACATGATGTATTGTCTCTGGTTGTTGATCTTGCATCTTGCTTATTTTCCCCTCTTAGGAAAGCGGACACAGGATGCACTTTTTTCTTTGAGACCGTCCAGGCGTTGGAGGACCGGCGTGCCGTGGTGAATGAGTCGCTGCGTGGAGATCAGATGGTGCTGTTCACCAAGGCCCAGGAAACGGAGGACAAGATGCTCACCTCGATGGAGCGCCAGGCAGAAGTGTTCAAGCAGCAGATGGAGCGCCAGCAGCACCAGGATGAAGTGTGGGCGCTGCGCCATGAGGAAGCGTCGGCGCAGCGCGAGGAGCGGCAGGATGAGCGACAAACTGCATTTAATAACAGTTTATTTGGTATAGTTTTTGTAAATACTGACACACGACACACAACTTTGCACTAAGGTGTGTATGCTGCTGAGAATATCCCTACACCTGGGACAGTTTATTTTATATTGTTATTACTGTTATCACTTTATTTTATATATGTTTACTGACATGTACAACTGACACTTTATTTACATTTAAAATTGTTCTATTTAATGTTATGTCTTGAGAGTGCAATAAAGAAAACCGACATGGCGATTAAGCTTATTTCTCCTGACACTTTATCTTTTGTGACCTGTGTAGCATCCTATACATCACATGTAAGTGATTATTCTGATACCATCATGTTTCATCGGTTATAAACTGGCAAAGCTTTATTTGTCATTTATTTATCATCAATGTTGCAACCTTGTGGGGGAATGGCAGCGGCACATACACAAATATGATAATTTATATAATTTTAAATATTATTTGACCTAAACTTTTCATTCCCCCCATTTCACACAACACAACATGGAGTCCACTATGGGCCAAAACTAACATGTATGTTTGCATAGTGTTTATGGCAGACGGATGCAGTGGGTCTCAGGAAGATATATATATATATCATTAAGGTGGGTTTGCTGCTGAGACTCCCTACACCTGGGACAGTTTATTTTATATTGTTATTACTGTTATTATATAGTACAACTGACACTTTATTTTATATTGACAATGTTTACTGACATGTACAACTGACACTTTAGTTACATTTAAAATATTTCTATTTAATGTTATGTCTTGAGAGTGCAATAAAGAAAACCGACATGGCGATTAAACAGATCCTGTATCAGCCATCCTACGGTGAAACATGGCAATCATGTGTGCTTTCCGTCGGCCAATCCTTTTCCTAAAGCTTTTGAACTGCCTTTGATGCTGAAGAAACTTTGCGATTATAGCATTCGACGTGTGGCGGCTCCGGATTTTTGTCGGACGCCTAATAGGCTCAGGCTCTGGCCGCATTAACGAAGTTACAAAGCTGTATAACATGAGCACAAACAGCACAACTTCAGTCGACTCCATCTCCATCATGTCTGAGGTCGGAAGGTAAACAACAGACAGTATACGCGGGAAGTTTTTCTTCTTCTTCTTCTCTTGTTTTGTAGCGGATTGCAAACAACTTTAAGGTGCTTACCGCCACCTACTGTACTCGCCGTGAAGTGGTTTGTGGCCTGCCAGTAAAGCCAAAGCAGAAGAAGAAGAAGTGACGTCAGCGGCTCATTTGCGTAATCTTCCCTCAGGGAAAAGTACTCCGGTGTGAACGCGATCTGTACTAAGTGCCCTGGGGTTAAAAGCGCCGGGGCTCTTAGTGCCGGAACTAAGTACAGGAAAGTACTTGGTGTGAACGCGGCTATGTGACACACTAACCTCAACAATGACAATATAATTATTTATATATTTACCTAAAGATATTCTAACACTGTTCAATGGCTTAAGATACATTTGGTATCGGAATATACATAAACGATATTTTTATGAAATAGAAATGTATATTTTCACATATTTCTGTCTGTTTTCTCTTACCTTTGGTTCCTGAGCTGATGTCAGACAATCTCTGCACCAGATCAGTCCTGTTCATCTTCTTTAAAACCGTGTTGTTCATATTCACACACTTTCCGCTGAACGTCTTCACCATCAGATCCACTATTTCATCTGTGTTTGCCACTTTGAGTCGACCCCTTAGGATCAGTGGGAAACTTTCCTCTAATTCAATGAGTGACTTGAATTGGTTAAGCTCATCTGAACTCAAATCATTCAATGATTCAAGAAGTATCTTCTGAGCCATCATTCTTACCTGTAAAGTTTAAAGGAGATATCTTATAGTGTGTACAGGATAGGATGTTGGTTATGTGTGTGATTCACATCCAAGATTGGAGACTGATTTTCTGCATTTCATTTATTATTTATATCACCAAGATTAACTTTTAGATTGTATATTCAAAACTCGATTTACTGCATTGCGGTTGTATGCCTCCACAAAAGTGGCAGTTTACATCCATGGCGATCCAAAATGTCATATCTTTATCATTAATAATTTTAATCCCATGGCATTTTTCCACCAAATTCAAAATCAGTTTATTTTTGTACTCAAGTGGATGTTTGTCCCAAATCTAAATAAATTGTTGTTTGGTTAAGGAAATCCCATTCTTCCACACAGGGCCCAATGGGTCAGTAGATGATTTGAAATGTTGTCAATCATTTTAAATCATGTTTGAAAATATCAGGTTACAGAATATTGTTTTTCAGTGAAGGATTTCCTCCTCGATTTCAGAAATATTTGCCAGATCAAGGTGAGTTAAGATAACTGATGTTGTTTTAAATGTTTGGCTTAGAGTGCATTCATTAATATTTTACTCTCTATTGCATACACCAATTGCATCTCAAAAGCATTGACTATATGAGCGGCACACCATATGATATCCAAACTTTCATTACAATCCTTTTCAAAACAAAATATTTACTCACCTCCATGTCTTTCTTATTCTTCTTATATTTCTCAGACTCATCAGCAAGGTCATCGAGGAGATCTGACTCATGTTTTCTCAGCAGTTTGTAGAATTTCTCTTTTCCTCCAGGTCCACAGACTCTCAAAGGCCCTCTTAGGAGAGTCCTCATCTTCTCCTGAGGGCCATGGAGGGATAGGATTTCCTCATAATGTTCTCTATTGATAACTTTATATGAGAGCAGTCCATCCAGAATCGGTTCAATGTTTTTTACTCTCTGGACTAGTGCTAATCGATGTTTATCCACAAATAGCACTGAGGAAAGAAAAGGCAAAGTGGTTAGCGATAATATGCATCACGATATATTTAATAAAAATGTGTAAAACCTCAAATTCATCTAATATTACAAAACTGGAAAATTACCTTTTACTCTGAATGAATTACTTCTAAGAAACTGAGGAGCACATTTCTGGTAAATACAAGCTTAATGTGGTGATTCTGCATGATTCTTTGTGAGGAAAATTAAGTTTAACAGATCCGGGGTCCGGTAAAAACAACCCAATAACCAAACTAACTGATTAGTCGACAATATGCTATTGTGTAAGTCGAGTGAAGAATTTCCTAAATGATAAAACAGAAGGAAATACGTTTTCCAGTCAGATTCTGCTTTTAAACTTGGCTTGTTGTAGCCAACCTTAACTCAAACGAACAGACTGTGTACATACCGTAATACCTGTGCACCTACCTTCCTCCATTGTGTTTAGATCAGTTGCTGCCGAGGATCACGGTGCTGTTAACAAAATGTATTGTTGTTAGACTTTACACATACCTCTGTTGTCTCCTATACATTTAGGAAAGAGAAACAAAATGCTCTCTTTCTTTAACGGTCCCCACACTAAGAAATGAACAATTAAAACTAGCTTAGGCTACACCACACATTGTGAGGCTCGGTTAAATGACAACTCCAAATGTTCAGCCCAAGAAAACAAGTACTATGAATACATGTGTGAACCAGAAACAGACAATAAAGCCAATGACAAGTAAAAGCTACACTGTAAAAAAAAAAAACGTTGTTTTTACGGTAAAAACCTGGCAGCTTTGTTGCCAGAATAATGATGTAAAAAATACGGTAAACTGTAAACAACTTTACAGAACAACGTGTATATTTTACAGTTTAAAACTGTTGTAATTTACATTTTAAATCTGTCATTTCAACAGCCCTTTTCTGCTGAATTAGCATGATCACGTTGCTATTAAACTGATTATTTCAGTAAGATTTACATGCAGTTGTTGTCTATTGTACATTGAATCCCATTCAATTTTACAGAAAAATACCAAACAAATAACACTGTTTAACTGTAAAAGCATCAGTGTAATGCTGTAATTTAACTGAATGTTCCCGCAAATTATAATCAAAAGTTGTGTATAATTTAGTGTATTTTGCCGTAGTAATGACGAGTTTTACGGTGAAAGCAACATCTAAATACTGCAATTTAAATTTTCTGTAAAATGTATTTATTACAATTAAAATGCAGAAAAAAACTGTTCTATGAATATCAATCTCAAATATATATATATATATATATATAGCATAAAACCGCCTGTAAGGATTATTGATATATAAAAATGTTTTTCCTATACATTAGTCAGATTGAAAGATTTCATTTAAACTACACCTTCACTAAACCTTCGTATATATATGTTTGACTATTACCAGAAATGTGAAGAATGTAATCCAGGGTACACAGATTAAGCACTTAAAATGTAAAATGCAAAGCTAGATAAACCTCAAGAGCCACTGTATTAAAAGTTGAAAAAATTCCAACAAGAACTTGCCTTTCCAAGAATTTATTATATATATATATATAATAGCAGTGATCAAAAACATCTGTCATTTCTCAACATACATATTGGTAAAACATACAAACTAAGGCTGCACAATAAACAAACAGCTCACATTGTCCAGGAAATTCAAGCTGAACAAAGTTGAGAGGTTACTTGCATCACATCAAATGATTTATGGGAAATAATGTTTTTAAATATTTTAGTACTTTATATGTCTCATCTCTTATAGTGGGCACCTGTATAATATAATACTCGACTGTCACAGCCACAGACTGAGCTGTAACTTAGCCAAAATAAGGGATTGTCTTAGTTGAATACATGTTCATTGCTAAAGGAAGTGTGTACGTGATGAAGCTACAGTTGCAAAACACATGTGTGTGTGTGTCTAAGTGAGATAGGTGAAGAGGTAGGGTCAGCAGAGACCCTTCACTTCAGAAGCAAAAACCCAAGTGGAAAACAAAACAAAACCACCCAGTGGAGTGTAACACGTCAACATTTTTACACTCAACAGTGATGTCCTGAGCTTTTATAATGACCTTAAAAGAATAGTTTGACATTTTGAGAGTTACATATTGCATTTTTTTAAATTAGTTAAAAGAACATGGAAAAAAAAGGCACTTCAAATTTTAACTACGATTTAAACAATCAAACAAACTGTAACTTGGGCACATCGCTACATGCCATTGATCTTACTGTCCATATTCAGACATCACGCCACTCATGGTCCGAAAGTTCCTGTATCAAGGTGAGGACTCTCGGGTTCACCTGAAGACGGGATGCACGTGTCTTCTTCACTTTGGTGCCCTTCTCTGGGTTGATGGAGAAAAAACACCTTAAAATAAAAATACAAACAATTAACAGAATTAATAATAAAATAGCTTGCCTAACAACAAAAAAACTTCACATCAATCTTATTATTTTGAAGCCAAAATGACAATTATCTTAACCCCCAATTCACTGAAGCAGCTGCTTTAGATTTGTTGCAGTTTAATAAAATTAATTGTTGGATAAAGCCAATCCCAAAAAACACATACCTCTGGACAAACTCCAGGGTGGATGTAGGCGATGTTGAAGCAATAATAGCTCCCAAACATCATGGACAGGGCAGAAACCAAGGAGGGGATGTTGTCCTGTACTATGTTTCGATCCACACTCAGCATGAATCGCCTTGAAGAATAGCATGATCGTCCTAAAAAAGAAGAAAAACACAATTCAAACTAAATTAAAACAAGACTTGTCTTCCTGAAATATTTCACAAAACAATTTTAGCACACATTTTAAGGTCTGTTAAATTGCTCACCATCAATACAAAAATGTATGTATGTGTATTTGCAGGTTAAGGGGAGATAAATGTAATGTCAATTTGACTTGCTTTTAGGGGATAGTTCATATTGTTTGAAGGGGGGTTGTAGGAGCTACAGTTTGGAGAAACAGAGAAGAGAACCAGCAGACAGCTAAGCAATGCACTGCTGTGGACATAGTTAAGCCACCAAAAAAACTAAAACAATATTACTCTTAGTGTATGCTATATTAAAGAATATTTTCAAAGCTCTACCTTGCTGTCAGACAGCTATACAGTCTGTTTCTGATAGGGACTGAAGCAGCAGGGTACATTTGTGACAATATTATAAATATAGCGTACACGTAAACTGAATTTTTAGGTGGCTAAAATACGTTTCGCTGCTGCACCCATCCACAGCTTTACATACGTACCCGTACTCCTGCCTGTTCCTCCAAAGACATGCAAGTAATACACTGACTATGGATAAGTATCCATAAGCATCCAAACTAGCCCTTTACGAGCTTACAGTAACAAACAACATTGTGCAACATAAACGTCTCAAATTAGACAGAAAAGAGAGAAAGAAGTGGCAGAAAGAACAGAAAAAAGTAGACTGCCCGTTAACTTTGAACCCGCTCAGATGTAGCTTCAAACCCCCCACTTCACAACAGCATGAATTAAACGAAAATAAAGAGTTCAGCTTTTTCAGTTAATTTAAATAGTCTGGTAACGTTATTGAAGTATCATGCTAAAAGCTGAACTCTTTATTTTCGTTTAATTCATGCTGTTGTGAAGTGGGGGGTTTGCCCATCGGGATTCGTCCCGAACGAAAGGTTAAAATCAATTGTGGAAGCTTAACGAACAATGTTGAGCTAATTCAGTCCAAATCTAAAGAGGCTCAATTTCCAATGATATAAAACTATTTAGGAAATCATTTGAGAAGCTGACACAACAGATTGTTTGCCATTTTGTTATTTAAAAATGGCTCAAAACAAGTACTAATTCTCCAATTAAAAACTGCTTTTTTAATCCATGTATTTATAGGTTTAAAGCTTTACAGCCCAGGAAATGGTCATTTCCACGCAGCACAAACTCCACAATACTAAAAGTAGCATTTTTGTCATTTTCTAACACATGAAACCTGCCATAACAGTTTCAGACACTATTTTGTAAAACTAGACGGCAGGAAATTGAAACCCTAAAAAAACAGAAGCGTAAGAGATGTGTCAGTGAGACAGTTATGAAGTGAATGTGTGGTGACTGAATAATATAACCAACGTGTCCATTTTACATGTCATTAGTGCAAAGAAAACGCAGAAAGGTTAAAGTGAAAGCAAAAAGTTGGAGTTGAGATCCTTCCATTAATGTTCAATAACTGCGGGACACGAGCTGGCCGTGATCTGTCTCGTGAACGTTAAACCTGTTCGTGCTGCACGTAGAGATAAAACTCACCGGATGTTTCTCTCTTTCTCCCTCAGTCTGCTTCCTACAGGTTCTCAATATCTTTCAGTATCTTTAAACTTTATGAAAACAGAGTTAACGTTTAAATCCCGCCACATTTCTACCTCTCGTTCAGTTTCCAGAAGAGGAAGTTAAACGTATGTGTCCTTTTCTCTGAAGTCACGTGGTTCTCTTATCTCTCTTTACGGCTCAAACCACCGCCCTAACAATAAAAATGATATTAAATTATGAGGGGTGAAAAAACATTCTGCCATACATTCTTAAAGATATTGATACTGTAGGAATCAGTACTAGTAAGACTACTCCCACAAGTGCTATGAAGAACCATTACTGTGTATCTTGTGAGTACTCCTCTGACAAAATTAAAACAATAGAAAACAATTATACAGACTCACAATATTTATCATACTCAACATGAAGTTTAAAACAGGCAGAGTTGTCTTTCATGCCGAAGCCGTGAACTCCTATATTAAAGAAGAGCTATTGTGGACTGAATTTAACCAGCACATATATAATATGCACTTTATATAGAGCACTTTTAAAAACAAAGTTACATGTGCTTTACATAGACAAAGCTTAATAAAAAGCCCAACCATAATATTAATAAAACAAATAACAGAAATAATAGAGCAGATAGGACATATTGGAAATAAAATGGTATATAAAACAAAAATAAAAAGCTGTTTTAAACAGATACATTCTTACCAGTATTTTAAAGAATGTCACTGACTCTGCCAGACTCAGTCGTCACACAGACATTACATAGCTGCACTTTTGCTGATATAACATCTGGGGGTGCAGTGGTGAGGCTGGAGGGACGGGTTCGACTGGAGTGTAATACAGCATCACTTTAGAGGGGAACAACACACTTTAAAATGAATCCTTAAAAAGCATTTCATGACCTAGATCTTGGAGTCATACTGGACTCGAACTTGACTTTTAAGAAACATATTAAGAAAGTATCCAATACCGTTAAATTCAACTTGCAACATTTTAAACAAATCAGACCCTTCTTAACTGTCAATGCTGCAAAGTCATAGTGTACCTCCACTGTATGATTCTATCCCACATTGAATACTGTTTTACAAACTGGTCGTTTGCTTGTGCCACAAACCTGAAACCCATAGAACAGCTGTACAAGAGAGCTATCAAGGTGTTTGACAGAAAGCCAAATTCATGCCACCACTGTACCATCCTTGAAAAACACAATTTCTTGAGTTTTGACAATTTAAAGTCTTTTAAAAGTATGTGTTTTTTTTATAAATGTTTACATGGACTGGCCCCCCCTCCCTCCCTCTTCCTTGGGGGAATTCATCCACAAAACACACTGGACGCTGCACTAGGTCAGAAACCAGAGGAGACTGTGAAGTCCACCGTAGACGGACCACTTTTGGACAAAATGTCCTCTCCGTTAAAGGCAGCTCATTCTGGAATAGCCTCCCAACTGAGATACGGGATTGTCCCACTCTCAATAGCTTTAAAGGTCAACTCTAAGAATGGTTGAGAAACAAACAGACGTGCAATCACCGCTAAATGCACTTTAACACAGGGGTATCTCCTCTTGCACTTTATGTAGCACTTTTATCTTTTCTTGCACTTTATATGTCGTAGCTGCTATATTGTATTACCATGTGATAAATACTTGTGTATGCTGCTCTTGCTCTTTTGCACTTTTTGCATATCATGTATTTTGTTTTTGCTATGTTTGTAAAATGTAATGTTCTTAAATGTTTTATGTGAGGGACTGCGGATGGAAATTAGCTCAAAGCTAAATCTGGCACTGTTACGCTTGACACATTTGAATGTTTTAAGTGTTCATTACTGTGCATTGTCCCTGCCAAATAAATGATTAAATAAAAAAATTAAATAAAACATCCCACACATTAATTTACAACTGAAATGAGAAAATCAAACATATTACAAACACATAACATTTCCAAATGTGTAGTATTGAACTCCAACAGGCATTATCTATCAGACAGCTCCCTCTAAAGCCACATAAGGCTTTGTATAACTTGTTTTACTCATGCGGCAGCTACTTTACAAGACTCCTAAACAGACTGGATATCTAAACATTGCTGCAGTTCCCCTTTAAATGTATAAACTGTACTTTCATCACCAAGTAAAGTCCTGCCTCCCTTCATCCAAACATACAAGAAGGTAAGGCTAAACAATTAGTTCATACACATTGAGGTTGGTTAATAAAGCAACGTTTGTGGATAACGTCAAAAGAATACTACCTTCTTCCAGTATCCCTCTGAACAATCAGTTTAATAAATGATAATAATAATATGTAAACATTTTTAAAAATCTAGGAGGAAAGTGACGTTCCTAAATCTGTTAACTTTATTACATCATTATGTCTGCTTCAACTTTTAAAACACTCTATTCACTCGATAATATTTATAAGACTTTATTGAAAATGTATTTCGAAATAAAAAACATTGGCCTCGTATTTTCATGAGGGAAAAAACAACAATAGAATCGTTTAGCACAAAAGACAATAATCAAAATCTGCATACAAAACCTAAGGATAATCATTCATGATCAAGCATCCTTTAATTTATAAAAAATAGGTTAAAAGCAGACTCAATCCATCTGGGATTTGCTGGATTAAAACATTACATGTCAGGTGAGAAGGCAAAGCCATTTCTTACATCTTTACATTACATGAATGACTTACATGGTTTGCTGAATCTGGTTTTAACCTTACAGGAAAACGTATTCATTTTATAAAATATGACTGGTCCAAGTGTAAAAAAGGGCAAGAGCTATGATTAAACATGAAGGTGCAAAAGCTATATTTGATAGAACCCCCTACAGAGACATTTACATGACTATTTCCCCATTGTAATAATTTAAGACGCTTTTTTTCTTGAGGCACAATGTACGTTTAGTCTAAAAAATGATTTCTCCACAACATTCACTTCTTTCCCTTTAGGTTCTCAATGAGATATTTCTCCTCTTTCTCAAGGATTCTGTAGAAGACGTCTTTGCCACGAGGCCCTGCTGCATTCAGGGGACCACTGAATAGTTTCCTCATCTTCTGCGGAGAGGTTGGGATTACCAGGATTTCATCATAAATCGATGGTGTGATGACTTCTTTCTCAAGGAGCTGATCCAAAATGTCTGCAACGCAGTTCACTCTGTTGATCAGCTCGGTTCTATGTTTATCCACAAAGTGCTTACCTGAGGAAGGAGGGAATAATGAGTAAAGTGTTGATGATACCATGAAGCCAACTTGATACATTTCTAAACAAATGATTTAATATTCCATAACAGTGACTTCTTTATTTTCAATACAGTGGAGGAAATAAGTATTTGATCCCTTGCAGATTTTGTAAATTTGCCCACTTACAAAAAATGAACAGTCTATCATTTTAATGGTAGGTTTATTTTAACAGTGAGAGTAAGAATATCAAAAAGAAAATCCAGAAATTGACATTACATACAAGATAAAAATTGATTTGAATTTAACTGAGGGAAATAAGTATTTGATCCCCTTGCAACAAACAAGGATTCTGGCTCCAACAGACCGAAGTACACAGAAGTCCTCTTCCTTTAAAAAAGTACTCCTAATATCAACTTGTTACCTGTATAAAAGACACCTGTCCACAGAATCAATAAATCAGATTCCAACCTCTCCAACACGGGCAAGACTAAAGAGCTGTCTAAGGACCTCAGGGACAAGTTTGAAGACCTGCTCAAGGCTGGGATTGGCTACAAGACCATCAGAAAGCAGCTTGGTGAGAAGGAGACCACTGTTGGTGCGATTATACGGAAATGGAAGAAACACAAAATGGCCATCAATCACCCTCGGTCTGGGGCTCCACACAAGATCTCGCCCCGTGGGGTATTGATGATCATGAGAAAGGTGAGGTATCAGCCAAGAACTACATGGGAGGAACTTGTTAATGATCTCAAGGCAGCTGGGACCACAGTCACCAAGAAAACTATTGGTAACACACTACACCATAATGCAGAAAATCCTGCAGCGCCTGTAAGGTCCCCCTGCTCAAGAAGGAACAGGAAAGGCCCCTCTGAAGTTTGCCAATGGACATCTGAATGATTCAGAGAAGTGGCTGATCCACTGGGATCACAAACCAAAATCAAGTGTGCACCCACCGTCTACCATGGTGTATTGAGCTGTCTCTCCAGCTGAGGGTCTCGCAGCTGAAACAAATTGAGGGAAAATTACAATTGCTTAATTACGGACAGGTTTAGTCTTTATGCTTTTTTTTTCATGCACACAGCAACATAGCAAAATACGGTCATTCAATGTGTCAATGATACATGCACTGTCATTGGTTGCCAGTTTAATAGAATACCTACAGTAAGAATAAGACTGATGTTATTCTATATTCAACAAAATGAAAAGATTAAAAGCAACAATGTGTTACTCCACGTCTCTCAATACTGTTCAGCTTCCTAAATATATGCTTGTGTCCAAGGTAATTCCTATCTCAAGTGAATGAAATGGGGCTGGGCCATATATGGATATCATAGTGAAATCATAATGTCAGACTACACTTAAGTGTCTTTTCCTGGTTTAAGTCCCTGCATTTTTGTGAAAGCACCAATAATCAACCCTACAATTTTGCTGGAATATATTTGACCAGAAATATTTGGAAATTTGATTATGTCCATATCGCATAGCCTTAAATGACTATGCACCATTATTCACACTACTTTTATGTAAATGTACATCAAAATTCAGTGTCAAGACCAGGGGCGTCGCCTGGACCTGAAAACATTCGGGGCTTAGCCCACAGTGGCGGCGGCACTACAGTGGCATTTTTCACTGCAACACTCCCCACACGCACACACACAATACACCCGCGACTGTTACAATGAAGGCTCGATAATCAGCTCACGGCATATAGACAGGGGTAAAGTGGTATTTGTTATGAGTGGGGGGCGGACCTCACCTCCTCTAGGGGGGTCCGGGGGGATGCTCCCCCGGGAAGATTTTTTTTTAAATATTGAAGTTAAATGCATCAATCTGGTGCACTTTGAGAGCAAAATGAAGAGATCTATGGATACCTCTCTCAGCACCCATATGAAGCAGAACTGTAAACAGATGTACTTTTTCTTTATGGATATTTTACTAATCACTCCCCTTTTAAACTCTATTCTTGTTTTACTGCCATATAGTATTTCATAACTGTTTTTCCTTTATTCTCTTATTTTTTTTATAACTATAATGATCATATGAAGGTGTGCCGCGGAAACAATCTTTTGAATAATTTGTGACCAAACCGTTTGAGACCCACTGAGATAACTTAGACTAAAGTTAAGTATCTAAACACTCAGAGAGTCCTTTAGCTCACCTGAGTCTCTCAGTCTGAGAGGAGAGGACTCTCCTCCAGCTTGTTGTGGAACAAACAGCTCCTTATGTCCGTTAGTGCAGCTAGCTAACCAGATGCTAACAACACGGTCCCTGCTGGCACCGGGCACCGGGCACCGGGCACCGGTCCCTCCCTCCCCCTCTCTCCCTCTCTCTCTCGATCACACTAAATGCGCTATTGCCACACACACACAGAGCCGAGCTTGAATGACACAAGCACACGTTTATTTCCATGCAACTCTCTGATTGGTCTGGTGTCATGCCTCTGTTGCATTCACTGAACACGGGAAATTACAGTGCTGCCGTCCTCTCGTGTCATGATGAGGTTCACGTAAAGCACGGTTAATGTATTATATTATTGAGGGAGAATTGTCCGGGGCTACAGAAAAAACATTCGGGGCTAAAGCCCCGGATGCCCAGGCCAGGCGACGCCACTGGTCAAGACAGTGTCGTTGTCAATGTGAAGGGTGCAGTTTGAGGAGAAATGTTAACCTGCAAATTCTGTAGAAAATATTCCCATTTGCTGGTCTATTATTTTTCTCCCATAACCAAGCTGCAAACCCTGCTATATCTCTCCAATGTCTTTTGTGTAGGGCTTTTAAGTTTTTGTGGACTAAAGACTTTTAGCTCTGGTGGAAAATAAATTGTGTCCTTTTCAAGTCTTCTATTTTATAATAGCAAGAAAACCTAATGTAGTTATTTAAACAACTCACTGTCCCTTGATCCATTTTCTGAGGACGGTCCACCCGTAGCTTCCACTGCAAAATAGACATATGGTTAGCAAGAAATATGACGGATGACAATTTGACATACAATTTTAATGTAGGACACACTAACACTGCATGCTGTGATTGACTGTTTAAACTGGGAGCTTGATTTTCCTTTCTAAACATTACAATTGCACCCAAGGGGATTATGATACGCTAATTAAAACTATGTTAAAGGCAATGTATGATAATAATTTGTTGGGTTTTGTAATTCCTCTCTTGTGCATATATTGACATCTTGCTCTTCCAAAAGTGTTCTCAGGGTGTGTGCAGTTCAGCTGGCAGAGGTGTTCACAGACATCTTCAACAGGTCCCTGCTGCAGTCTGTAGTCCCTGCATGTTTTAAACCCTCCACCATCGTTCCTGTCCCCAAAAAGACTAAAACCACCAGCCTCAATGACTACCGCCCAGTAGCACTCACCTCCATCATCATGAAGTGCTTTGAGCGGTTAGTCAAAAACATTCATCACCTCCTCCCTCCCTGACTCTCTGGACCCCCTGCAGTTTGCCTACAGAGCAAACAGGTCCACAGACGCCATCGCCCTCACCATCCACACTGCCCTCTCACACCTGGACCAGAGGAACACATATGTGAGAATGCTGTTCACTGACTACAGTTCAGCTTTCAACACCATTGCCTTCCAAGCTGGTCCTCAAGCTCAGAGACCTCAGGCTCAACAGCGCCCTCTGTGATTGGATCCTGAACTTCCGACGGGCAGACCCCAGGCAGTGCAGGTGGGAAACATCACATCCTCCACCCTGATCCTCAACACCGGAGCCCCTCAGTGCTGCGTTCTCAGCCCTCTCTTTTACTCCCTGTTCACAAACGACTGCGTGGCCACACACAGCTCCAACACCATCGTGAAGTTTACCGACGACACGACCGCCATTGGCCTGATCAACGACGGCGAAGAGACGGCGTACAGAGAGGAGGTCAGTTTTTCATATATATTTTTTTTTCATGTTTAATAATTGACTGTTGAGGAACCTGCGATCTCAGTTATTCATCCTTAACAACACCATAGTTGTGTATATGTTATGACAATAAACCTTTGAATCTTGAATCGAAGGTTGCTTTAAAAACAGCTTTTCTGTAGCACTTCACAGTCAGATGACAGAAAATAACTTACTATCCCATGGACCAGTAATGGAGGGTGGTCCACCTATCTCTTTCACTGCAAAAATAGGAATATGCAGTGTTAAAAAGAAAGAAAAAGGTGTATGTTAAGATTCTTATAAATGTAATGAAGCTCAGCGCAAGTTCAACCAGGAAGACCGTCTTTAATCATTTATTCTCACATCTCCAGCGTACTACTCTCTCTCCTCTCAATCAGTGATCGGCGGCGTCACTCCCCAGCTAAACCTATCACTTCGCCTCTATTCCCACAAGCCTATCATAGTGCATTGCTAAACCTTTAAATCTGCTCTCTCCCCTTCCTCACAGTTGTCATTTCAGGTGAACCAACGCAGCCCTCCTCCACCCCTTCCACCGTCCTTTCTTCCAAATCCAGGGTCAAGCTTAAACCACTCCTCTTCAGACCTCCATCTATCCCTTCATGCTCCACCACCACCAGTGTCTAGACCCCAGGGGGGGTTTCATCGGTTCGGTGTTCCCCCTCCCGAATGATATTCCAGCACAACGGGGTCTGATCGCCAAACACCTTCACATGCATATGTGTATTCCCGGCAATAAATATATATTGTTAAATCAATAAACTGTCTCTCCTGATTGAAATGGAAATATCATTTCAATAACTGTAAAAACAAACGTTGTTTTTAATATGCAGCATCTTACCATCTGAATCACCAGAGTTCTGTAACTCAACTGAAATACAGAACATACAAAATAAGGATTTTTCATATTTTGTTTTTAAGTATTGTATTCTCATCAACACGTTAAAATAAAGTTCATTTTTAATATGTTTGGACATACAATGGGATTGGGCCAGTGGCGTAACTATCGACGGTGCAGCAGGTGCAACGCACCGGGGCCCACAGCCGGCCAGGGGCCCATGCAAAAAAAAAAGAAAGAACAAATATATATATATTTTTTTTTGGGGGCCCCAATGGCATTGACCGGTTCACGCAGTCTTCAAAGTAACCAAGCAACCTAAATTAATTAGTAATTTGTCTGTCCAATGACCTTGCTCCCTTTCATGCAGGGCCGGTCCTTACAGATCTGGGGGGGCGCTGTGCTGGTAGCTCTGGGAGGGGGAAAAACATTTTTGACCGTTTGCGCTCATCCTAATTTTCGGCCTTGATGTAACAACATTCATAATTAAGTAAATGTAACACCCTTTTCACCCCGGTTACACTTTTCATTTGCCCTGTACGATGGGCGCTGTAAGTGATGAAAGTGGGGGATGTTGGCTTATCTGGCACCCGCAGCTCACAGCCAAAGTGCGAGCGAGCGTGGGAGCGAGGTACCGGCGCTGTTGTTATTAGCACCTGGTGCTAGCTGCGCTAACGGATATAAGAAGAAGATGTTTCTCCAACAAAGGTGGAGGAGAGCTCTCTCCTGACAGACTGAGAGGCTGATAACTACAGCTCAGTGAGGTAAAGGACTGAGTGTTTAGATAGTTAACTTTAGTCTAAGTTATCTAAAAAAGTGCTTTACTAAATAAATGTTAACAAGGTAAAATAAGATATGAATGAACAACAAAAAATAAATAACAATAAAAATAATATGTATTTATTTAACATGTATTTGTTATTGGCTATGGTAGGTTATTGTTTATGTTCACATACTTATTTGATTATTAAAATGTAAACCGATCTTTTTCATATGGGTGTTTTAGAGTTGTACCCCCTAGATCTAGTCTGTAGTAATTCTGCTCAAAGTGCACCAGATTGAAGCATTTTACTTTAAAATGTTCAAAAATGTCTGTACTGTAGTTAGCAGCAGCAAGTTCGGCAGCATTATAAAAAATGTAATAGCTTGCATTTATAATGTACAGCAAACCAAAGCACAAGAGTGGCACTCAAAAGAGAAAGGACAAAAGAGAGTGTATGTCCGTGCGTGTGTGAGTGCATCAGCGTGTGCTTATGTTTGGGGCGATGGGGGGGGGGGCCAAAACAATATTTGCACCGGGGCCAATCACAACCTTGTTACGCCACTGGATTGGGCTCTCTTTCATTTACTATAATCCCTTTGCATAACACCTTAGTTAATTAAAAGGTAAAAGAAAGGTTATTTTTTTTCATATGGTGTACAGTAAGTAATAATGCCCACTGACCTTTTAGAATCTCACAGCTCCATACTCGTTCACACCGTGGTTCGCGTTTCCCTTTCTTAAGTTGTGAGAGTGTAAGGTCGAAGTCACTGATTGGATTCTTAAAGTGCACGTCAAAGAATATTGAGCTTTGGCTTTGGCTACTATTGCTGAGGGTTATTTCCTGTGTGAGAAGAAAAAAAAGAAATAACAGAGAGAGATGGCAAAATGAGATGTGAGGGTCAATATTGAATAAACTAAAGATTTCAGTTGTTAAAAAAAAGTGAATTAGTCACATGGCCAACAGAGAAAATGGTGCTGGTTATTTCAAATGGAGAAGTCCTTATTGTTGAACTTAAGTTTGATGGTATATGCATGCCGGTTTTTGACTAAGTCCACAATTTGATATGCCACTGGTAAATTACAAGCATACATTTTCTCACATTCACTGCCCTAGATTAACACATTTTGGCTACTGAACCATAGCTAATTCTTCTGTCTGTAAATCTATATATTTACATATATTATATATTATATATATATATATATTATATTTATATTTATATATTTGTATGTCTGTATATCTTGTTATTATGTCTTTATTAAACAAGGAACATGCATAACAATACATTAATTATAAAAAGGTAAGAGATGATGTATGGTAGCATTGAGCTATTAGCTCATTTCCATCTGCAGTCCCTGGGTAGATAAATACATAAAAATCAACAAAAGTGCAGATCTATAAAATACAGATACCCACATATTTTAGGCTCAGCTCGAAACATATTCCAATGCCTGGTGGTTGTAAATTAAAAAGCTGATGGTGCAAAGATAATCCAAAGGCAGTCCACCTCAGTGGGATGTTTAAGTCTAGTGGAGATCTTGAGGTTCTGACTATTTGTGAGTTCCCTTGATATTGATATATTAAACAGTAGCCATTTTGACGTCTCACTGCAAGGTTGACACAGGTATTATTTACAAAATGAATAACTGTCCCATTTTAATTAGTGTCACATCCATTCTAGTCTAGTCAGCATTAACAATAGCAGGAACCTGGCCCAATTTACTGGCAATTCAAACTGTACCTCTGGGCAAATCTTGGCCGTTGTGCCTGCTGTGAGGTTGAAACCTTTGTGCAGCGGCAGGCCCTTGTTTGTGCGTGGCTTGTCGATAAATTTGAAGTCTTTTTTCTTCTTGTCGATGGCCTGGAAAAGAAAATCAAGCTAAGCACAACCCTGCTTCAACTTTACAGTAAGAAACATCTGTGTTTAAAATGCATTCATGAAACAATAAGCTTTTAACAACAGAGTATTAGGGTCAGTATCTAGAAAAATAAATATTTATTTTAGATTGTGTTATTTCAGAATGGCCACTGAGGAAAAGGTCATGATAAAAAGTCATACCTTCGAGAAAAAATGTCTTTAACGTTTTGAGAGTAACGAAATAAGTGAGATCAAACCAAGCTGCAGCGTCATCGACAATTACCACCGAATAGGTCTGAGGCACGTCTGTGATTGTATTTAACATTTATAGCAACATGTGAAACGGTTAAATTGGCTTAAATGCTTTGTTGTTTGAAGCAGCTCTCCATGGAGCAGAACTTTCCCTCGAGTGATAATCTAAAAAACTAAATGATATCTCGCTTGATAAGTATTATCAGGGAACACATTATAACACAATGATAAGTATAAGGTTATATGTCAACCATGTATCGATCATTGAGAGTCATATTGCAAACATAGCTTATAGTTTTGGGCAGAGCTAGCTCTGTTTGTAGGGACTTGGCTTGGCGACCAGAGGGTTGCAGATTCAAGTCCCTGAACGGATCAAGTGAAGAGTGGGGACTGATACTTTGTGAGGTGGCAGTTGGTCTCCTGGTCATGCTGAGGTAACCTTGAGCAAGGCACCAGAGCCCCACACTGGGCACTGTAATATAGCAGTCAACTGCTTCTTGTTTAAGGATGGGTTAAAGGCAGAGACTAGAATTCACTGTGTGCGGTGCTGTGTTCATGTTTGATGATTGGAAGTTGATTGTATTAAAATCCTCCATTTCCATAACACACAATAGGACCCTTTTAAGATAATATTTCCTTTAAATGTTTTCCCTCACTTATGACTTTACTCTCATAACAGGACTACTTTAAGAATTAAAGATGTTATTTTCACAATTTAGCCCAAATACTCCATTGTAGGTTTTGATTTCATTTTGAATGTGTGACAGTAAGATATTCAGTAACCTCTTTAAGAGCAGGATCGAGCGGGGTCAGGTAAACATGAAGAACGGTGCAGGATGTGTAGGCTTTTGAATAAATCAACACGTTACAGTGTATTTTTACTGGAAAGCCCATTTTCATCAGGACCGCTCTTGGAGAGAAAACTGGTTCAGACAGCTTGACATGGGACGATGTGACTTCAGACACTTTTTCCACAACATCTCCACAGTCATCTATGTGCAGGACTGCAAACCTTTGCAATATTTTAGGGATGTCATCTGCATAGTACAAAGCATAAACAATTAATGTGAATAAAAAACAATTGCAATGATTATTTTGTTATTTTCCTCCATGATCACTTACCTATGCAGATCCAGTGTGGCAGGTACACTTCAAATAACTTCCCAGAAATCCCTGTGATGTCTATCAGGGGACCTGCAGGCATGTATTTCATCATCTCCATCCTCTTCATGGGTTCCTCCGAAGAGCAAAACTTGTACTTAAAGCTGACCTTTTCCTGACAGACCCAGCGCAAGCCAGAGACACTGCATTCAAAGTTTCCGGCTTCAGACTTTAGGCTAAAATATAACGAAAAAAATAATGATTTTGTATTTGGTACACAATGTAGCATTAATACTATTGGGGAAATATTTGTAGCAGATCTTAGTGTTCTCTCTGTGAAGAAATCCCAAGACCGAAGCTTCAGTGTTTACTATATTTCCAGTTTGATAATATGCAGTATTTAGGAAACTATTTGTACCTGTAAGTTGATGCCTCATCTTCATCTGTACTGTTCACCTCAGGTTCAAGTTTAGTCCAGCCACTGGAGTCCTTCTGCAGAGGCAATACATTTTACAAATAAGTGAAGACGTGACTTTTGGAAAAATTACATAAATGATCAACAAACAACTGAATACATAAATAAAATGTAAGGAATTACCGTCATTTTTTCACTACCTTCAAGCTCCAAGGTTCTTGAAGGCCCTTGTGAAGAAACAAGATTTTTTTTTAATTATGTTACTTAAAGGGCCCATGTCATGGCCATTTCTACTGATCATAATTCCATTGTTGAGGTCTACTAGAATAGATTTAAATTGTGCAATTTTCCAAAATCACATTGGTTTCTCATACAGCATCTCTGTATAGTATGTGTATTCACTGAATTTCACTCTCTGTCCTAAACGGCTTGTTGGAGCTCCTGCCCCCCCCCTCCCTGTGAGCCCAGTGTGCTCTAATTGGTCGGGACGTTGCGAGGCTCGCTGCTGCAGTGTGAGCTCGCTGGCGGTGTGTTTTCCGGGTCGGCGATACAGCGAGACACAGTGAAACTCACCCTGAGCACACACAAACACTCACAGCCGAAGTAAAAACAATAAGTGTGGCTTGATATTGAGTAAGAAAAAGGTTTATAACGCTGTGAGAATGGGTCTGCGGAGAGCATTTCTCCGCGATCCCAACTCGTCTAGTACCAGCGTTCAGGGAGCTCTATGCAAGTCAATGGGACTCCCTGTAGTAGACGAGATAGTGACGCCAAGGGATCCTGGTGTGTGAGGTGCTGCGCGGATTGGTCCGTTTGGACGTAAAACCTTCATAACACACAAGGGGACGGGTAATAACCGGAAAAGCATGACATGGGCCCTTTAAAATGTTTTAATCATATGGTAACTTCTATGCCCTTTAGCACTATGTGCTACATAGCGCTGATGTAGCATTAGAGCACATTTGTTATGCAGGAAAAACTGGTGAGCGATGTCTTTTTGGAAGCTTGAAATAATACAATAAAAATAAACTTGGCTTTTCACACCTTTGGATCCTAAAGTGATGTTTGACAACTTTTGCTCCAGACCATAATCGTCTTCTTTCATCTTCTTTACAATCTCCATTGTCACCTCCATAGACTGTTGGCCGTAGATCTCCACCATCAGATCCACAATCTCTACTCTCCCTGCCGTCTCTAATCTCTGACTTGAGATTCTTTGGAGGCCACGCTTGAATTTCTCGAGCTCTCCATCACTTAAATCTTCCAGTGTTTCCAGAAGCTTCTTCTCCAGTGATGCCACGGTTACTTCCTAATGGATTACATGTCATCAGAGGGAATTCAATATAATATCTCCACTAGTTGAAAACATTTTCCAACATTTGCAAACTGTAAAACCTAAATGAGAGCCGTGTTGTGTAAAGTGTGTCTGATGTGATATGACTCACCTCCTTCAGTGGTTTGGACGGATGTTTATCTAAGGAGAAAACCAAGGAAAAGCCTCATCATCACTGATTCAAATTCAGATTATCAACGACTTCTTAAGGAATGTTTTTTTTTTTTTTCATTACTGCACTTGAGTTACGAAGAATCAAAAGTGTTTAATATTCGGGAGCCGTGTTCAACAACAGGAAAACGATATAAGCTATAAAACTGCATCTATATAACACTTTCATTTACAAACTCCCCCACAACTCGTGCAGTATAATCAAAGTCTCATTCATCCAGGCACTAGCTCACTACTTCTGATGTGTGCAGAAGAGTAGCGCATTTCAAAGTATGAGACTGTTAATGCAAAAGTGTTTCAAACAGTGAGGTTGTTTTAGTATAGTTGTGCTGTTATTAAACACGCCCCGATTAATTTAAATTCATTTAAATATCTACATTGTTTGATTTGTAACTCACAGTGGAGGCATGCAAGAAAACAGATGTCTTCAAGAATTAAAGAGAACTCAGGGTGAGTAATTGTAATACAGAACAACTGGTCATTTTGTAGGTGAACTATTCCTTAAAATAAAATAAACTGAAATACAAAAGCATTGCAACAATTTCAAAACTCATGACTATGAACTCTTCTGTGTCATGTAGCAGTTTTTGTTTTCTTTCTCTTACCTTTGAGTCTTAAGATAGTCTCTGATAATCTCTCCACTAGATCAGTTCTGTCCATATCCATTACAACCTCCCTGGTCACCTCCACAGACTGCGGACCACAGGTCTCCACCATCTGATCCACCAGCTGGGATGCACTTGCTGTCCAATTGGGATATCCATGAAAGGTGCAGGATATGCTCTTCTGGAAGTACGTGAACTGCAGATACCACTGAAATCTGTAGAGCTCATCGTAACTCGTATCCTTAAGAGTTTTCAAAAGGATCTCTTTCTCTGCTGCAATTGGTGCCTGAACAATTAAACAGATGTTTAAGAAAAGGAGCTATTTCTCGATAGAAATAAATATGAGTTTGTTTTCATTTTATCAGTCATTGTTTCAGGCAAGTGGGTTTCCTACAATTTTGACAAGATCTCTCAAGTCAAAGACACACTAACATCTGTTCTATTAAATATGTTTAGCATTTTTCTTCACGAATGCAAACTTTGATATGAGTGTTCAGACTTCAGTCTGCTAATCTGATCAGAACATCAGCGGGAAAAAAATCATTTTGACAGAAGAGACCAACCTTAAACATGGTTTGGTTTGCATCATCATTTTTATGTTCAAGATGGATTTGGTTAACAACTTGCATCTATTGAATAAAAGCTGTGATGTGTAAGGTCAGACTCACTCCCTCGGACTGTGCAGGTCGATGTTCATCCACAGAGTACATCTCTGAAGAGAGAAAATAAAGTGAATGTCTAACACACAAGATCCCAGCAACTAAACTAAACTACTTAAACGCAGGGCCGGCCCTGGGCATAGGCAGTATAGGGGAATGCTAAGGGCGCATCAACCCATGGGGGGCGCCAAAAATTGGGGGAAGGAAAAAAAAATACAAAACAATTTCTCGATTTGGGATCAACAAAGTACATCTTATTATCTTATCTTAACAGAACTACGCATATATTTCGTAGAGCGCCCATAAACTATGGCGCCCCCCCCTAGTCATGTAAGTTGAAGTACCCCAGGAAGAGTGGGAAGAAAAAAAGATGGCAACTACCTGACGGTAATTAGCAATGTCGAAAAGAACAAAGTTATCTGGTGCCCAGGAAAGAAAGAAAATAAAAGAGAAGGAGGAGAAATGGGACAAAGACAAAGGTACAGTAACGTTAATGTGCACATGAATAAATAGTCAATTGAATTGTAGTTACCGTTGATGGAACAGAGTGTTAACTTGCTAGCTTACTTTTAGACGATAGCAAGGTCGTTTGTTTGCTAATCAACAGTTATATTTAAAGTTTTTCAATTACTCCCACCTTAAATTCAGGGAAATTTGGAAAGATTATTCAGATGTTACATCACGTCTTATATTTTCATCTACATCTGTTGAGGCGAGCCAATGTTTGCCCTGCTTGTAGTAGTAGTAGGCTAGTCATTAAAATGCTATTCATTTTACATCCCCTCCATAATTTATAGTTGTAGGCTTTTATTGTATTGCCTTACAGTTCAATAGTGTAAAGTTTACACCAGTGTTAAAGTGCTCGTCACTACTGTAAATATTGCATACCTCAGCCTTTATCTTTAATATGCTATATTACACTGTACGTAACTGCTTCTTTGCCATCTGGTAAGTCGCAGAATCTACAGGTGCATCTAAAAGAATAACTATATCATAGAACTGTTTTTATTTAATTAAAAAAAATGAAACATTCATATATTCTAGATTCATTATGCATAAAGTGAAATATTTGAAGCCTTTTTTGTTTTAATTGTGATGATTACAGCTAACAGATCATGAAAATCAATAATCCAGTATCTCAAAATAGTATAATATTAGATAAGACCAATCTAAACAGGATTTATAATACAGATATTTCGACCATCTGAAAAGTTTGTTCATTTATGTACTCAATACTTGGTCGGGGCTCCTTTTGCACAGATAAATGCATACATTTTACATGGTATATGGAGGCAATATATGATATTGTGAGCTGCTCCTGTAATATGATTTCTATAATATGTCTTAGGTCTAGCAAATATAATGCATCTCTTGACGGTCACATATACTTCTCTTCTCTTCAGATGCACTTTTGAAATATTTGGGCCACATACCACCTCAGCAGAGCCCAGCACTGCAGCAGCATCAAGCGTTCCTGTCCCCTCCACCCGCTAAAAACTTGCCTAGGGCGGCAAATTGGTCAGGGCCGGCCCTGCTTAAACGTAAAACGTTCTGTTTCTTGTTGAGACTATGTCTGTGGTATTTTAATATTTCTTTAAAGTTTGCATTGATTCCTGTCCCAAGTTTTTTTATATTTCACATTGATGATGACACCGAGGTTGCACAATTCCTTTTTTATTTTGAATTATAAAATGTATGTGATGAAACGTTTATGAAAAACTTGTTTATGTGATGTGAAGTTTTGTTTTTCTTCTTTGTCTTACCTTTGAGTTCTGAGCTGGGCTTTGTCAACCTCTGCATCAGATCAGTCCTGTTAATGTTCTTCAAAACCTCCATGGTTATCTCTACACACTGTTGGCCGAAGATCTGAATGATCTGTTCCACTGTTTGTGCTCTGCCTGTTGAGGATCTCAACTCCCATGACATGTGTATTTTTTTTTTCATGGTAAAAAGCAAATCCAGGTACTGCTTGAATTTCTCTTGATCCTCATTTCTCAAATCATTCAGAGTTTCCAAAAGCAGATGTTTAACAGCTGCCATTGTTGCTACCTGAAATAATCAATACATTCATTAGACATGTGTATATTCCTCTTGGACAATTACAAATGTGTCTATTTGCTATAAACTGGTTAGTTGTTGTTGGGTTTGACAAACAGACAGACAGACGGACAGACAGACAGACAGACAGACAGACAGACAGACAGACAGACAGACAGACAGACAGACAGACAGACAGACAGACAGACAGACAGACAGACAGACAGACAGACAGACAGACAGACAGACCGACAGACCGACAGACAGACAGACAGACCGACAGACCGACAGACAGACAGACAGATCATCATAGATAAGTCAATCATGTGTTTGGGTCAAATCATTATCTGTTGAAGGAAAGGTGTGTTGTAGAAAGTCAGACAGATGTGACATTACTTACTTTCTGGATCACTGCAGGTCGCTGTGCCTCTGAGTGTTTCTCTGAAGAGAAAAAGGTTAAAGTGGAAATAAACCAACTCAACAGTCATTCTTACCCTCTCCCAAAATATTCTTCATTGTTCTCATTAGTCCTGCAAAATATTTTGTACACTAGGAAATATAGACATAATTAATCAATATTTACAAATATACATTTAGAATGTAAAGAAAATAAAAAAAATTCTGTTATTCAAGTATGAAAAACAGGTTTGATGATTTAAAGATGTTTGTTTCTTATTCGTCTTACTTTTGGGTCCTGAGCTGCTTTGTGACAGCCTCTGCACCAGATCAGTCCTGTTCATCCTCTCAAAAGCCTCAATGGTCATCTCCAGCAGTCTGTGCTGGCTGTGATCTCGCACCAAATAAAACACCATATTCTGCCTGTCACTCATCATGAGCCACCCTATTGAAATGCCTGAGAGCTTTTTGCCAGAGAGAATTTGACTCAGGACCATCTTAAAACTCTGCAATTCCTGGCCACTCAAATCTTTCAGTGTTTCCAGAAGCAGCTCTATGACACACGCCATTGTTTCCACCTGGTAAAATCAAAGGAGATGTTAATGGGGCAAAAGAGCAATTTCTCAGCTGGAATGATTACAGATTATTTTGGTTTACATCTCGTCAGTTTCAGTGTTTTACAAGAGTGGATGTGGTAAGAGAACATCAGGCATGTCACGCACAACGTATCAGTACACTTTATATTGTTCATCCAATTCATCACAAAACCATTTTCTTTTTGTATAAACGGCGTGTTTGATTCATGACTTTATTTGACTTCTTAGGTAAGTCTTTCAAAGGCTGTGGTAAAAAAAATGCGATAAGCCTCTTGATTTTACAACAGAGTGGCTGTTTAACCAGTTTCATATTTTTTTTGTATTTGAACACATACTATATACAGGGGTGCACATAACTGGTACGCAGGTACGCATGCGTGGCAAAAATCTGAATTGCGTAACGTCCCTTGTGTCACTGCGCGCCTTTGCGTACCTGATAGGTCATCAAAACAAAACACATATTTTGTCTACACGTGTTTCTTGTCAACACTCTAGACATGTCCAAAAAAACAAAACACATTAAGCATTTCGCTTCCTGCTAAAAATCTTCTGACTTTCTTGAACTGATTGAACTGGGTGCTGGCCGAGTTGCGCAGGCCATAACCGACGGACCTGTGAAGCTTTACAGGAGGCAGAGGCTTAGATCACTGGACGACAGAGTTGGTCGCCGTGTGCACAGACAGGGCTGCTGTAAACGTCGGTGTGTACAACATAATTGTACCAAAACTACGCCAACTGGCTGCGGTGGGAGACTCCCCGGTGCACATTCTGTGCCCCGTGCACACACTGGAGAACTGCGCAAAATCAGCTGATCACAACGTTCACGCGCAGTGGTCAAGCTGCTGCAGTTTTATTTACAACAAGGTGGAGCAAAACACACAACTGCAAACTTACTCAGGGAGTTAATGGAAGAGTTTGAAATCAGACAGAGGTGGAAGAAGTACTCAGATCTTATGTAGGAATACTCTGTTACAGTAAAAGTCCTGCATTCAAAATGTTACTCAAATAAAAGTAGAAAAGTATTATCATCAAAATATAGTTAAAGTGGACCTATCATGCTATATTTGAATAATATATTGTAGGGCCATACCTATATAAGGTATATTTATACGTTTTATTTTTCAAAATACCAAACAGATCATGCATTTTAGCCATGCCTCATTTCGCTCTATTTTGCTCTCCTCCACCCTGTCTTTGCATGCCTGCAGCTGACCACGCCCCCCTGCAAAGGAGGGGGCCGAGATACGAGCGTCATGTTACCATGCTGTTACCATGCCACGGCAACCTCTCATTCCCCTGATAGGTGGAGAGTTGGCCATATAGGCGGAGCTCCTCCGTCCTGACGTCAGAGAAATGTTCAAATCTGGATCAGTCTGTATCAGATCCGTTGCAGCCCCGTTTTAGAGATTTGGGTATGGAGGAAAAGAGAGAGGGTTGTGTTTTCTGACACTTGGTGAGTTCCCTGGAACACCGGGGACACATATTCATGTATAAAAGACGTACAAAAGTGCATTTTGCATGATAGGTCCCCTTTAAAGTAGCGACAGTAAAAGTAGTCATTGTGCAGATTGGTCCATTTCAGAATAATATATATGATA